GCTGTTGTGTCGAGATATAAATTATAAAAATCTTAATTGCTAACAATGAAAATGATCATTTTGATCAAATTGGCAAATTCTACACCGAAAATCAGCTGTAAATCACTATTCATAAAGCTAATAGGCTCTATAACTATAGGCAACCTGGTTAGACACATCAAGATCCATCTTAGCAATATTTTTTGACATCGATTGCTCAAATATTGACCAAAACATCCCACATTTTCACTCTATAAAATCTTGATCCACTGTAAATTGGGCTATTTACACCAAAAAAGTCCATTTTCGATGCCCACTTTTACTCACAGGACAACTGAAAAAAAGTTTGAAAAAATTTCTTTTTTTCCTATTAAGTAAAATTGTGTAAAACGTAAATACGGGCCTGCCAATACTTGTCTGAACAGAAACAAGCGCGAACTCGGGGAGATATCAACTACTCTAAGAATGACTACATTTGTTAAGGAAGTATAAAAAAAAGGCAAATAATCTATTTACACCACAAGGCTAAATAACTTACTGTTAAAACTTCATGTAATCCAAATCCCTGTTATGTAATGGTTGGTTTAAACTGTATAAGTGTGTAGTATATATATGCCTAGTGTGTAAAAGTTTCGCAGATACAGTCAAAACTCGATATAGTGATATGGATGGTGGACAGAAATTTTATCACTATCACTATATCGAAAAATAGTGATAATAAGCAGGCACGGACCCAAATTTTCCAAAAAATTATCACTATATCGAGCTTTGACTGTACATTGCTTGTAACTGTTTATAATCGATTTGATATCCAAGTGGAATACGTTACTATTATAACTTAAATAAACAATCTTTATAATTTATATCTCGACACAACAGCTTTATACAGCTAAGACATAGGTATTAAGACACTGCTAATGAAATAGTAGCTTTCTCTAAAGAGACATATAAGAGATTTAAGGAAACAATAATTTGTATCTGATATGTCTTTAAACATTGATAAAAAGGGCAAATCCATTTAATGCAATATTGTTAATTTAAAAATTTCGAGCTATATTATTTTATTGCTCCAGGCCTATATTACGAAATCCTTAACATGCTTAGCTTGAATGATCAAGAGACTCTTCCGTGAATCCCTTTTTCAGAAAAATAAAAAGAAAAATATTGGATACTCCTTGTAAGCAGTATATATTCCGAGGTACTGTCATTATCATCTATGTTCAAAACAGCTTTGTAATATCTCTGAGCAGATTAGATATTTTGTTTTATATTTATTTTTTAAAAGAATGATAGCACCGGGTTCTTTGTACCTGTATTACATGGCTCGATCTTCTTCAGGATCTAAACCTGACTTGATACAAATGAAGTGTGAAAATGGTGGTAAGATATATGACACCCGTTATATTTCCCTCGCCCCTAAATCTCATTCGTGAATAACGGAGGTTCCAATCTTGCCAACGAGAATTTACTATAAAGTAGCAAGGGTCAGCTTACTCGACTACGAAAGCGTCCACTGCCAGTCATCAAAAACTCTATACATGTTAGCAATAAATAGTCAGTAGAATTTATTACAGTTTAGTTCCTCTATATCCTATAACATCACTATGTTACGATTGGCTGATACACTTTACACAGCAGTCCGTCCAACAACAAAAAAATTGCCTTGGTTTAATATTAAACTGCAGTACTACAGTTTGGGGTGTTTTATAAGTGGTCTGTCATTTTGTTGACAAAAAACGGTCTCATAAGAGCTGTTAATATTTATATGTGTATTGAATATAACAAGGAAGAGGGAAAGCATCCGATAGTCAATATGACTTTTTACTACTTTGGTACATGTTTTCTCTTTCTATTGGTTATAATTTATATTAACCTGTAATCGTGTAACTGTTATACAACGGAAGGGACAGCCAATAAGAAACAGTCATTAGATAACAAAAACCAACTTTCTTGTAAAGTAAATCAAAAGAGAATAAATCAAAGTAAAGAAGTAAAGAAGTAAAGAAGTAAAGAAAGACTTTGGTTTTGATCGGTTGTAGTAACAACTCTAAAGACAGAGTACAAGCTTCAATAACGGCAATTTTCAGGTTACTCTAAGCTGGTCTGTGCACTTCTTGTTCCAACAGAAGAAAATTTTCATTTCATTTCATTTTATTTTATTTCGGGAGTTTAATCAACACAATATAAATAAAATAAAGTAAAATGGAATAGAATAAAATAGAATAAAATAACATATTCAAGAAGAACGTATTAAACATATAGTGAAGCCCTTTTACAACAGTAAAGTACAGACCTCTTGGTACTTGGACTTGGTGCTGATACGAATCTATAGAAACTTATCACAGTGAAGAAGCGTTAAATATACATGAACCGGTTGGTTGTTCTTTTTGTGTGTGTGGTAATCCTCAGAGGACGTGCGGTACCTGTATTAATCATCATGTGAAAATATACAGGCTGCCTGGTAGTTGTTTGGGGGGAGACAATTCTTATCTACCCATACCTATGTGTGTCAATTTGATAAAGGCGTATAAACAAATATATTGATAGCTTGGAGTGTGATGTCAGCGCGACTACCATCAAAAAACAAAAAACATATATGTACCTCAGTTATTCCCACCTCCCCTGTTTTTTTTTCTTTCGCACTTTGTTTATACATCATTACTCTCAATGAATTCCAAAGTATATAACGCTATCTACGCAGCCTTTGCGCTCGCTTACCTGATTGCCCCAGCGCTCCTATTCATCCCTGTGATGCTATGGGAGGCTTCTCCTATGCCCTCTGCATTCTGCATGGCCAAATCTGCTAAGAGAAGACGCCCCTCCATGGCGGGAGTGGGTGCAACCCCATTTGTTGTTGTAAGACCAGACGGCGAAAATCAAGTCGAAGCTCACAAAAATGTGATGCCTCAGACAATCCTTGGCATGCTGTCAAACTGGCTAGGCTCTTTGTGGTCTACTGGTTCGCAAACAACGGGAGAACCCTCAGGTAGCTTGTTGAGTAAGCGCCACGGAGGTATCCCAGAGCATATGTTCGTCGATGATTCCTCTTCGGAGGCGGAAGACGTTGTTTGTGTAGGAAAGTCGAGCGTGTTCTTTGGAGCAGGGCTTCGGGGATATGTCCCTCACCTCCTTCCTTTGCACAAGTTGGGACGTGGCATCGCTACAATGGTGTTCCCAGTTAACGGCGTGGCTGGTACCTGTGGGGAAACCCACGCAGACCTCGACGGGGGTGTGTCGAGTGAGCTTGTAGACGAATGCGATGAATCTGAGGTCAGCGTACGACTCAGATTCATCTGTGACAGATTTTTCTCAGAGGGTTTTGCAAAGCCAAGACTCTCTGCTAGATTTATTGACGCGATGTTGGAAGAGGAGCTCAACGACTCTGCCAACAAAGCTCATCGCGATTCATTGACTGAAGTCGCTGAACCAGAGTGCGGCTTGGTTCCCAAGTCAGCTGAAGAGACTCCTGTCCAAAGACAAGAGTCCGTTCAGACCCCATCGGGTTTGGATAATGCTGACTTCGTGGTTCCAAAGCCAAAGTTTGGGACAGTGGAAGGCCTCAATGAGGCGTTCGCTCTATCGTCTTGGCAATCGGCCAATGGATTTTTTGGTGAATGTCTCTCCACAGGACTTCCCACACCGATGGAGATTGACGACGACCTGGCTTGGAGTGAAGTCATGGAAGTTGAAATTCCCATGGAGATTGATGATGTTGCTGAGGTGATGGTGCTTGATGCTAATTGTGGCGAAAAGCTCATGGCCCACACCTACAATCCAACGGTTACCGATTTGCAGTACGTCTCCCAGTCTGCAAACATGGATTGTGATACGAACGATCTTCCAGCCTGCGTACCGCAGCAGGCTGCAGACGACAAGATGGAAGACGACACAGAAAAAATAGTGCTATCTGGACCATCCTCTCTGAAGAAGTACGATGCACCAAAGCCTAGACAAAAGGTAGGTGCCGACGAGGTCAAAGGTAGCAAAGAGCCTTCAATGGCGGTCCCCCGACCAAAAGAGAAGAGCTCGAAACTTCCTCGACCTGCCAGTCAAAAGGCCATTGAGGAAGCAAAGGCCGCAATCGAAGGGCCAGAAAGCAAGGTGGCTTCGGCCTCTTGTGATCTCCCTTCACAGCTGCCCAAGTCACTTTTTGGCCTTCGCACCGAGCGGGCAAAGCTTGTGTCAAGCCTTGCTTCCGAAGTGCCTGAACCAGTTACAACAGCCAGTTGTGACAAGGGAAAGGCCCCAAAGAAAAAGGCCAAGACACAGGGGTCAACTGCTACCCCAGCTGCCCAGGTCTCTGTTCCTGTTGCTGCACCCAGCAGCAAAAAGGAGGAGAGTATCAAGGAATTCAAGTCAGATCTTCCTTCTGCATCTCGCGGCAAGAAAGTGAAGACTTCCGGCGGTGATGAGAAGGCCGATCTAGTTATCGAACCCATCGGTAAAGAGATC